AAATATGTTTTACCCCATATAAAATATTATCGTATAATACCGTAAGCTGCATGTGTTTAGATATATAACACGCACACAAATACCATCTATACCTTATATCCAAACCACAGATCCCTGTTTCCGAGGAATATTCGAACTCCCCCCCCCCCCCTCCCTTCCCCTGTACATGTGTAAACTGCAATTTTTTTATTTTCAAAATTTATGCATGCAATTTTTCGCAATGTTAAAATTTTCGTTTCAGCGCTCGGCCAACTTTTTTGAAAGCCAAATGACAACTTTCTACTTCACACCCCTTGGCATAAATCTGTATATGATTGATTAGAATATTATATTAATAGAAATATCGGAAGTAAGGTTTAATTAAACCGGAAATACGGAGCTCTATGAACCTGGTCTTGAATAAATCAATTAATTATTGTAATCGTAACTAAATATGGATTACATTGGACCCTGCAGTTAGCTTATTCAATACAAATATAGACTTAAAGGTTCTGTTAAAGATTGCCCCTCCCCGGCCCCCTCTCCATTAATTTGTGCAAAATAGACATTCCTGGCAAAATATATCGTTTGCTTGATAAGGAAAAGGTGTGTGTGGGCCGAGCGCTGCCGATGTCAAGCGCCGTATTTATGCTTGTAAAGATGATTTTTATGTAAAAAAAATACACTACATTTGCAAAACTATTCAAATTTATAATGTTTGAAACGCTAAAAAAAATTTCATTTTATTTTTGTAAATTCCCACAAATTATATTGATCCTTAAAAAAACTTTTTCATGTATGCAACAATACAAGGAAAGGGGTCAAAAAATGTTTTTAAACATCATACTTAGGAGTTCCTGTGTGTCTCCCGAGTTCCCCAATAAAAATTTAAGACAAATCGGTCAAGGGGTTTCTGAGTTATGATCTGACAAACAAAAAGCCAGATATATTCATCATTTATATTTGTCTAAAGCAAAATTGCATTAAACAATATAAAAATTTACAATTTAATACTCTTTTCTCTGGATATCGCATTTTATAATTGACAGGGTTTGCCAATAAACAGGTGCAATACAAGACTTTTAGCATGAGTATAGTTTAGCTATTCAGAGATGGTTTTCAGGAATGGAGTTTCTAGGTCCCAGTCTAACGTTTTTCGTTTTCTAAAAATGTGGTATGATGCCAGCACTGCAAGGCTTGATAGATTTTCGAACATTGCTTTGAAACTAACACTGGGTTTGAAGAACTTATGCAGTTTCTTTAGATTTGCTTTATTTGATTTGACAAACAAACAGATAGACAAACAGAGATTACAACTTTATGTACATAGATATTGTATTCGATCTATACTTGTCATTTATTCTATACTAGTTAATAAACCATACATCCTTATTCAGGAAAATCAGAGATAGATAGATAAATAGATATAAAGATTGATAGAAAGAAAGATTAGTAGATAGATTGATAGATAGATTCCCCGTATCTAAACTTATCTAGAAATTAATTAAGTTGACTCTACACGTTCTTAATATGTCGGGAGAAAAAAATATCAGCAAGCTGCAATAATTATTTAAATTTCTAATATTGTGATTGATTTTTATCGATTTTTATTGATGTAGTCATGATTTTTTTAATGGTTCACTCGATTTTTGTACACGCTGTACTCTAGTACACCCTTTTATTTTTGATACACCCTTTACTTCTGGTACACCCTGTATATTACTACACCCTTTATTCTGAAACATCCTGTATTTTAGTGGACCTTTATCATTGGCTCACCCTGTATTCTAATTAGTTAGTTCCCTGCGCGGTATTTGTTGGAAGATAATTCTCCCCTTGTCTTCTTGTTTTCAAATTTTAATGAGGAAATAAATTTTCTTTTTTTATCTTTTTCTTGGCACCTCATTCATCCTTGGGCGCAGTTTACGTTATATATATACTTTACCTTATATGTGTCAGCTCACGCAGATCAAACCAGAGCTAAGCATATCCGAGCTGTATCAGAATTAACAAAGTCAAGTTTTGAGCTGTCATACTGCCGTAGCAGTTATCAAAATAATCTATACATTTAAAAAAAAATTGTATCCATTGATCAAAATTTATATAAAAAGAAGTAACTATCTATCTAATTATCATAGTTCAGTTTATGTACATATGTACAGTGCTGAACCAACATTACATTATTGTACAGCAAGTCTATACCGTTCTCATATAAATCAGTCTGTCCACTTGTGGTGTGGAAAGTGTACGCGGTTGGGCCAACTACAGACGGGATGGTCTAGATCTGTTTCCTTGTACTGGTTCGGATCCCACAACAATAGTGCTGGAGTGTACTGTACACAATTTGCTTTAACTCGGTGCATAGATTTAAACTTTAAGATTTAATTTTTGAAGAAAAAAATCGAATTTAAGCCAATTTGGTCTAGCTGGTTTGCCAACTTTAGCTTTAATATATAGATTGGTTAATAGTGAGAAGTCGTTGAACTAGATACAGTTGGATGAACTACATATTTTACTAAGAGTGTACTAAAGATATGGTTAATTAGTAATTGGATCTTAGAACTTTATTGTTTTTCAGTGCTTTAATGTTTAGTCTGGCGTTTGTACTATTAGCTTATCTCATTGAAATTCGGGAATTTGCTAAAATTTTCCTTTTTATTTGGAGTGGTCACCGTTCTATAGTATTCTAGTATATAAATAGAAACTGATTTCTCACCTCAACTTCTAGTTATCTAATTTTATATCTCTACAACCTGATGATGTAAACCTTTCATGTTTCAAACTTTTTTTTTACCATTTTATAAAGTAGAATTCAGAGTTGGAAATGTCAAACGTCTCCAAAGTTAGGTTGCAAAGATATGAGGATTAGAAAATTAGATTTTGTGGAGATTTTGTAATCCAGTTAGAAACTCTTTCGTTCTTCTAGCAAATGAGAAAGATGAAATTATGCACATTGATAGAACATGGAGGAGAATAAGGAGGAATTAAATTATGTCCATGAACTCAGTTATATATCTAATTATTCCAAGAAAATTAAGTTTTCTCTCTCTCTTCATATTTGTTCATCATAGCTTGAAATTAATCTGAGAATTAAGGATGGCAGATTAGGCAAAAATAAGGGAGAAAGTAGGGAAGAAGGAGAAAGGATTTAGGGAGGTTTAAGGCAATAGTGAGGGAGGAATGAGGGACAAATGAGGGACACATATGAGACGAAAGAGGGAGGCAAATGAGACGAATGAGTGTGAAATGAGTGAAGGATAAGATGCATTAAAAAGAGTAATTCTGTGTCGGGAATAAGAATGAATATGATAAATCAAGGATTAGGTTAAGAGACGGATGAGAAAAAAAGAAGGAGGAGTGAATGACAGCGAGGGATAAAGTAAAATAGGAGGATGATGGACGGAAACATTTGAGGAGGAATGAGGGAAGGATGAAGTAGGGATGATTGAGGGATAAGGGAGGGACGATCGAAGGGAGAGTCAGGGATGACGGATGGATGAGTTAGGGATGAGGGAGGGATGTAGAATCAAATAACACAAGCTAAAGTTTTGATAACAGAAAATGGAGAATAAAGAATGTTGATATAAGTTTGAAAACAATATTAATCTGAATCCAAGAACTGTGTAAATCCATTAAAATAAATATGTTCACTAAATTATTGTTGTTGCTGGCAACATGAGCAACATATACTGAAATATGAAGTTTTTATGATAATGAGGTTTCAGTAGCCCTTACCCCCCCCCCCCCCATCTAACACTACAATGCTCTGCATTACATAGCCTGCCTCTGTTATAAGGGAAAGTAGGAATTGGGTTATCTCGTGTTATCGTCTCTCTTCCTCTTCTTAATCTTCATTCTTCATTCGTAACTCATTCATCTTAAAGGGACTGACTGTCGATATAATTTAAAGGGACTGACTGTCGATATAATTTAAAGGGACTGACTTTCGATATAATTTAAAGGGACTGACTGTCGATTTAATTTAAAGTCAGTTCTACAACACAAGTGGATTTTACTTGCGGACCTAGTAATTTCCGCGCAATTCTGCACAATTCTGCACAATTTCACGCAATACGTGAACAGTTGCGCGCAATTCCGCACAGTTGCGGAATTGGGAACCCTAATTTAATTTCCTGCTAAAAATTGCAAGCCCGATTCACAATGGTACCCTTTAAACTTTAGTCTCAGCAAATTCGATAAAATTTGTGATTTCTCTATAAAAGTGATTTATGCACCAGCATCAAATAAATCTATTTAAAGGTAGAATTCATCACCTTAAGATAAGGATTTAAAGCATTTTTTTTGTTTTATTTTTTTTGTGTGTTCTATTTCCTGTTTTCTGTTTTCTTACCTACCTACCTCCGTACCTACTCACCTACCTACCTACCTACCTACCATCCTACTCGCCTATTTAGCTAACTACGTACCTACCTACCTTTTTACCTACCTACATATCAACCTACCTACCTATCTGTCTATCTACCTACCTGTCTATCTGTCTACCTACCTACCTTCCTTATACTATCGTACCTACCGTCGTATCTTCCTCCTGTATCCCAACCTTCATACTTCTAAAATTATATTAAACTATGCTTATACTTTCCTGCGAGTCTAATTATAAAATCCTTGTATTATTACCTAAAATTATTCATATATATATATCTATATATATATTCTTAATAATTTTTGAAATTATGAACTCTGCCAGATCAAACCGTCAGAGTTTTAAGTATCAATGATTACACCATCAGATTTCAATTATATAGGGTTTAGAAAATAATGGCTTGTGGCAGGTGCTTTCAGTTTCTTTGATATAAGCTGTTAATTTTAACATTTTCTAAGTTAAGTTAAATTAAGGATGACTGGATGACTAACAGAAAAGTGTTTAAAACTATCTTTAATGAATAGTTTATATTTGAACCTAAAAAGCCCATTAACCTTTGTGGGTAATATCACACATGACACGATGATAGGTAACCCGTGCCAAGCCTTGGGCGTACACCGGGTCAAGACGAGTCAAAATGTGCGGTCAGGCGGAACGTGCCCCTGGTACCAGTACCGTACCGACCTGCACCGCTCCGAAGAAAATTCGCGGATTTCCTGCGGTAGCGGGCTCCCGGTGAACCAACCAACAAATCTCCAAACTCCGTGATCAACAAGTCAGTCGTTAGTGAGCTGTGGAACAGTAAAGACGTACAGTTTTAAACAATGAGAAAACTAGAATAAACAAAACAAAATGAATTCCATGTTGAAAGTTATAATTCTGGCACAGTCTGTGCTGAGTGTAGACATTTCTGGATTAAAGAATTTAAATATTGAAATATCAGAGAATATCCCAGCCAAGGATTGTAATAAAACACTCACACAATTAGAGGTAAATTAACATTAACATTATTAAAAACATATTTATAGTAACATTTCTTTTCTTTAATTAGGATAAATAAAGTTTTAACAACATTAACAATTATTGGATCATAATTAGATAACTTTAACTTCATTGAGTTTTTTTCATGATTTTTTTTTATAATCTACTTTTTATTTGTATTATTATTATGTTATTATTGTAATTATTATCATTTTTATGACTGTAGTAAAGTAAACTGGAATTTTCTTTACATTATAAAATTATAAGAAGAAAAANATTATTTTTAAATTATTTAGTTTTTATTTTGTTTTGTTTCTAATTTTCTAATTTTTTCAGGGTTTCTGCTCCGAGACCGGATATGAGCAGGATCTTCCAACTAAGCAGAATATTCTGTGCTCCAGACAACCTGTCAGAGCAGTGTTGAGAAAAGTTCTTGAACCTGAACCAAAATCCGAGATTGCTCAAAACATTTCCGCCAAGATTCGGGACCCTGAGAGCTTTTCCGTGAGTGGAGAACCCTCCCTTCTTCCGCTAAGTATTCACTATCAGATCCCAGCCAGGAAACGGTTTGTTATTGTCTTGGAGAGATCCAACTCCATGGGTCTCAACAATCGTTGGTCCCTCTTACACGGAGAACTCTTCCGGTTTATCTCAACCCTCCCCAATGATTCTGAGGTTGCACTCATCACCTTCGGATCCACCGCGGCCCTCACCCTCTCTCCCACTCTCCTCACCTCCGAGAATAGGGAGGGGATATATGGACGGATACCTAGAAGACACCTTGAAGAGGATACAGCTTGTCTAGAGTGTGCAGTAAAGCTTGCGATGAAAACCTTATCTCTAGGTTCTCCTATGAGCAGTGGAACCCTGATCCTGATAACTGCAAGTGCTGCTAAGCCTGCAGGGTTCGGAGAAATGTTGCAGACCATCAGTGAAGGATCACACAAGGTTTACACGGTTGCATTTGAGAAAAGTATCTTCTACGAAGCTCGGCTTCTAGCACAGTACGGATACACTTTCATTGTCCATGAGAAGCATCACGATGTTCTGGCCGGAGCTGTAAATATTTCCGATATATTTACATCCATCCTACAAACCGCAGGAGGAGTTAAACTTAGAAAGTTTCACCAGGAGCAGAAAATATCTGATGATTCCAACATTGTCTCAGGAACATTTGTGGTTGAAGAGAGTCTCAGAGATAATCTTTGGGTTCAGATTGCATCTCCAGATGAGGATGATATTGAGATGTTTGAGCTGACCAACCCTACTGGAAAAGTGTTTGAGTTTCCCAAGTATGAACATGGACTGGTGTACTTCAAGCTGACCGGGTCCCAAGAGCCAGGTATCTGGACCTATAGAGCTAGATTGTTTCAGAAGGATCAGTTGGTCCGGGTTTCTATCCAGGTCCTAGCTGAACCTAGTCACAAGGATTCTATTGTCCTGGAGGCCTGGACTAGTGTTGACTATGAGGGAGTTAACGCTCTCAACACTCCAGTCAAAATATTTGCCCGTCTCACAAGCCACACCTCTCCAGTACTGGATTCAGAGGTGGTTGCTACTATAGAGAGACCTGGAGTATCCGAACCCGTCTCAATCCGGCTCCGGGATACAGGATCTGGTTATCCGGATATTACACAGGGTGACGGAATATATTCTGCGTATTTCACCCAGTTCACAAGTGAGCCAGGTTTCTACAGTGTAGTGGTTACCGTGAAGAACAAGGATGGATCTGCCAGATTACCAAGATTGTCACAGTCCGGAGATTCTGAAGAAACTTGCTGCGGTTCCTCTCTTCCTTTCTCCTACACGGTTCCCATCACACAGTTCTCCAGGCACACCCTTGTTCCATCCTTCTTTGTCAAGGAAGGATCCCAGTTCTATCTAAGACAAGGATCTCCGACCAGAAATGATGTATTTTCTCCAAGTAGGATTACAGACTTCAAGCTTGCTAACTATCTTGATGACTCTCTGTATGTCACCCTGAAGTGGAGAGCCCCTGGAAACGATTATGACTTTGGACAAGCGTTCAGATATGAAATCCGTTGTTACACAAACAGAGAAGCACTTAGAGAAGAGAACTTCAATGACATGGGAATCCTGGTTCACACCTCTCTCATCCCTACTCCTGAGATATATGGAACTGAGCAGAGATCTACTGTAGGAATACCCTGGCCTAATGAGGTATTTTACTACGCTATTGTAGCGTATGATGAGGAAGGTAACAGAGGAGAAGTCTCAAATGTCATATCTGTATATGCTGAAGAGAACCCACCTACCCCAGCCCCAACTGTAGGTTTTGGACAGGAGATTTTAGACTCTGATGCATATCCTATCCATGAAAGCATGCCTCTAACCTCTACTGGTAGTGATACCCTTATATATGTAGTGTCTGGAGTTGTCTCTGCTGTCCTTGTAGTAATCCTTGTAATCCTACTTGCAGTGCTCGCAAGAACTAGGTGGAGCAAACAGATAAAGCGATCCGACTCCAGTCAGATCTATGTCAAGGATTGTGAATCTAGTATTGGAGGAACACTGAAGAAGAACGGATCCTACCCTGATATATCCAAGGATAACTCCCTTAACTCTGCCAGGGTTTGGAGAGACACAGACTCTTGTGAGAAGAATTCCATGAGAAAATCTCCAATTCCGTCTATCTCCGACAACCTATCCTGGCGGTACATGGAGCAGAACAAGGCTGTTGGTCAAGAGGTAGCTGGAGTTCATCGTCAACACTCTGATCCCAACTCCCCCAACCCACCCTCCACAGACTCATCCATGTACTCCAGCAATGACTCGGAGTCCAACGGAGAATTTATCCTTGGACCTGGTCCTAGGATCTCAGTTATGGAAGACTTCACAGTTTACAGAGATCTCTCACACCTGGACTCCAACCAGGAGTACTTTTCATTCAGTCAACTCCCCCAGGAACTCCATGGATTGTCCATAGTCCCTTACTCCCCTGGTTATGATACCATGGACTCCAAACTTCCCTACTTCGACACTATGGAGTCGAAACGACGACATATATCTCTAGTATAGAAGATATATACACTGTGCACTGTCATACCTAGAGCTTAAAGTTAACAGTGTGTCTCATTCTTTTGTGGGACGCACTGTACATACTCTTCTCAACAATAGAGAATTCATGCTGTTTATAAACCATTGTCCTGCTAGTCTTATATATAATATATTTTGATACATACTAACAAAGTTCAATAAATTAACATATCAAACTCTCTTCTTTTTCTTTGGTTGACGGCTGGATAGAAAGAAAGATAGATATATAGATAGATAGATAGATAGATAGATAGATAGATAGATAGATAGATCTAAATCCAACACTCTCAGAGCCGCAAAAATAAACTTCTTTTTTTTGGCAAAATTTCGGTTTATTTAACCCTCGTCTAAAAAACATACAAAATAAGTTACTTTATAGTTTTTTGAAATCTTATTTTAGTCTCATGTTGGTTGGTCCTAACTGCCTTTGGTTGTTTCTTGCATTGATGTGATATGCATGGCCCCCCCGGAACCAAAAATTGAAACTTTTTCATGCAAATAAATTTCTCCATTCGATTCACAATTTGTTTGGATTAGATTCGACTCATTTATGGTTCAGGAACGGTGCAAGGAATTGAATTAGACATATGAACAAAAACAGTTTTACAATTCTATCAAAAACTTTAAACAAAAAATTAATTTCTAAAAGAATTTGTAAAAATCAAAGGTTAATTGTTTTAAAACCTAGAACTGAGTTCAAAAATTTTAATTTGTAGAGACGTTGCGTTGAAAAAAAATTCGACTTGAAAATATTTTTGCCACACAAAACTCAGCTCCAGAAAAAAAAATGTTTTCTTATTTATCGGATGCGACTTCTCTCATCCTTCTGTCGTCTAAAAAACTTATGCTTTTGAATCTTTGCTACGTCAAATGAAACCAAAAGTGTGAATATACATTTAAAAACTAAAGATAAAATTCGGCTTTAGTTTAGCGTATAGCGTTTGTGTAGATGGAAGGTGTTATAAGATTAAATTCTCGGGGGGTAGTTAAGGTAATTAGCAGGAAATTATGGGGTAATTAGAAGGTAATCATTGGATATTTTACCAGAAAATGATTGAAATCTAGCTTCTCTCCTCCTGCAAAATAGTTTTAACGTTTTCAGAACTCTACTACCGTATTTTATGTTATTATGTAAATTGCATTCTACATAGGTTGCAATTGGTTCCACTCTCTATGCAATGCAACTTGATATTTGCATTACCCATACAAGATGCATCAAAATATCTTCTTGTGCCAAAATTTCCTCTAGATCGATTATTAACGGATTAGAAAAACTAAATCTGTAAAAAAAGTTTTTTAATGCATGGTCTAGAAACCAAGTTAAAGGGACTGTAAGCGTAATTTTATGTGACTCTCCATGCAAAGATGGATATGTTCGATTTACAACGATACTCTTAAAAGCTTGAATTATATATTCATATTTTTTCAAACTATTTCTGTTCTTTCAGTCTCTTACATCACTAAAAAAGCATTCAAAGGTGCCGTAAGCGTAATTTCAAAACGGCTAAACTGATCGGGTTCAAATTTTGTGTAGGACTTCACAATGACCCCATGGAAGGTCTATAGATGATCAAAATTTTTTTAAAGATCTGTAAATCCTGAGTTTGAGCGCAAAGTTGAAGTTCAAAATCGTACTTTTGGGTGGATACGTTTTCAAAATCGGTATTTTTTTAATTATTAAATAACGACGACAGAAAATAAAGTACAGTTATCTAATCAGATAGTTAGGAACATATTTCTCAAAAAAAAATTTCAATAAATCAATGCTAGAACCAATTATTTCGTTTTCATCATTATAATGAATTTCTCATTTTCTTTTTTTCGCAGATTTCTTCAAATTCTTCAAATGTCGTCTTTTCAATAATAATTCCAGAAAATCTTTAAATCTTCTGAGCTGAAAACTTTAGAATGGGATATCCTTATTCCCGATAGGTTATTTAGTCTGGAGATTAATAACAAGAGGAGAACATGCATTATTTAATCAGATTAAGAAAAAGAGGAGAACAAGCATTAATCTCGAAATCCACCATTCTAAAGTTTTCAGCTCAGTTCTCCGCGACGATTCAAACATAAACAGTACTAGTCTGAAACAACTTAAAGGGTTTCTCCAAACTGTCTAATGGACAACAAGAGATTCTGCGGTCAGCTGGAACAAGATTAGTTTAACTCTACCTTAAGGAAATCTGACCTTATATTTCTAAAGGCTCATCAGAAACAGAAGAAGCATGCGGAACATGGAGCTAGTCCCTAAACCATGATGACAAAACAATTGCAAGCTTCATCCTCTTTGAAGCTGGATCAAGAGAAAATTAAAATCAAGAGCTAGAGGAATGGTTTTAATGGCGAGGAATTCAAGGCCTATTGATTATTCAAAACAAAGAAGAAGTGATTTCTATTTAGAAAGGAACTGATAACTTGCCTCAAACTTAATATGTTGTATTTGTTTGCAACTTGATGGTGTAAACCTTTGATATTTTAAACTTTGACTAATTAGTTATTATGTAGATGCAACATTAATCTATTAATCGTGTACTTAAAATATTATTTAGTTGCAACATTAATCTGTAAATCGTGTACTTAAAATATTATATAGTTGCAACATTAATCTGTTAATCGTGTACTTAAAATATTATTTAGTTGCAACATTAATCTATTAATCGTGTACTTAAAATATTATTTAGTTGCAACATTAATCTATTAATCGTGTACTTAAAATATTATATAGTTGCAACATTAATCTGTTAATCGTGTACTTAAAATATTATATAGTTGCAACATTAATCTATTAATCGTGTACTTAAAATATTATTTAGTTGCAACATTAATCTATTAATCGTGTACTTAAAATAATAAATTTAAATTCGTAAAATGTAAACAAGAGGAAAGATTCAAAGATATCAAATAGAAAATGAACTGAAAAATCAATAGCGTTTTTAATAGAAAAAGCAGGGACGGACAAGTTTAATAATGTTGCCTAGAATGGTATATAATTCTGATTATAATATTCATGGAGTCAAAAGTTGTAAAACCATTAAAACCCTGGCGGGATTCAATAAAACTTTCTTATTTAAAAAGTTATTCGATTAGCGGGATTCAATGAAAATTGTTGCATACAAAAAAAAACAGCTTTCTATAAAGGAATTGTGTTTTTTTCCTAAATTAATGTTGAAAAAATAATAAAACAGGTTTTAAGATGCATGAAAAATAAGTAGGTATTAGACAAAAAAAACTTTAGGTAACTGAAGAAAATCACATTTTGAATTTATAATTTGGCGACTTATTCATGAATGTTCCGCGCCGCGGGTAATTAAACTATTAGACAGGTTTAATGTCTTGTTAAAATATTGGTAGCTCTGGGGGAGTACCATTCATCTTTAAACTGCAAATAATTACCATTATAAAACAAGACAAAATTTTGTCTCAAATTGTCAAAAATTACTTAATTGTTTCGTTACCAACAAACTTAAATTTACTAATCCCAATATCTTTAAACCTCGCGGTGTAAATCTTTCATATTTCTAACCTAGATTTTTCAAAATATCTAAGGTCCGTGACAAAAGACAGCAAAAATATAGGGAAAAGATAGAAAATTAGAGTTTCTGTCAAATACTCAATTCCTTTTGATGTAAATACTTGATTAAAGGGAATATAAAGGAAAAATGAAAGGTGGTGCAGGTTGAAACCTGAGAATCTCAGGTGTTAAATGATACAGAAGACATCTATCTGATGTTTCTGTCTCGAGAAATTGATATAATACTGTGTCAAACTTATGCGAAAATTCATATATATACAATTGTATAAAAGTAGTAGGTTTAAACAGATCATATTCAGCAAATACGCAACCAATCTGAAAACGATTTTATCCCACATGGAGCCTGATCGAATCTCAGGTTTGCTCCAATTATAATTTTTAATTTTTATTTTGCATTTTTATTAAATAAAATTGATAGTATTATTAATATAGTCCTTTTAGTCACCAGAACTTCAGTCAATGGCAGTGCAGTATGCTGGTCACGTGATTTCCGTCTGTATCACATGACAATGGACTGAAATTGAAATTGACAATGAAAAACTAAGGAAACAAAGTGTCAAAGTTTAGAGAAATCCTTAGACTAATCTTTCCCTAATCTATGAATAAATAATTTTATAATTTAAAGAAAACTTTTTAAAGGAATTTTGATTGTGTGCCAAATTCACAACGATACCTTTAAAAAAGAAAATGATGAGCAAATATATACGAATGTCTTGTTTTATTACATGGACTAGTATAATGTGCCCGGCGTTGCCCATGAAATTTGTATAGATCATTTCTTTTAAATTCCAGTTTTATGAAAAAAGTTTCGATTTAAAAAAATCGATTTTTGAAAAAAAAAACTTTTGTTATTCCCCGGGAACCCATGGATTCCCTCAAAAAATGTTAGCCCATTCGGTCCAGCTGTTTGGCAGCCTACATAATTGACTTACGGACTTATGCAGCATGAGCCAAGAAGGGAGTTGATAGAATTTAGATTTAAAATGACAATATCTAATCTAATGAAATAAAACTATAAAAGGGCACTAATTCTTATGAATCTGTAAATGGAGGGTAATTCTTATAAATCTGTAAATGGCGGCTAATTCTTATGAATCTGTAAATGGAGGCTAATACTTATAAATCTGTAAATGGAGGCTAATTTTTATGAATCTGTAAATGGAGGCTAATTCTTATAAATCTGTAAATGGAGGCTAATTCGTATGAATCTGTAAATGGAGTCCGGAGGGTATTTTCATCAAAAACACAGACCCTTTAAACCGAGAAAAAGGAATACATTTTTTTTATTTTTTATTTGCCATGTTTCCCTTTAGATGTTTTCTATTCTATTTCTCTAGACCACAATTCACTTATAGGTAATAGACTTAGCGCTTACTCATCCATATAGAATTACAATGCGGTTGAGAAATTTTGTATTTTCGGGAAAAAAATGTAAAAAAAACGCTTCGTGGTAATGTTTTTAATTACAGCGCAATAAACCTCTTTAAACTTCTGTTTTAACATGTACAAATCAATTCAGGGGAGTGTTAAATGTTTGATATAAATTATTTTTCAAAAAAATATCATTTTATTTTTATTAAAGTATTATAGTTATCTGTGTACTTTAAAATAGACTTTCTTTGATTTTTTTTTGGAATA